CCATTGAGTCTGCGATGACAAAGACCTAGTAGAACTCGAACAGCTCGTGTAAAATGCTTCAGTTTGGAGCAGAGGCCGAAGGCATGGACATGTGCTGGCGAGAGCGACCAGACACTATGTAGGAAAGAATGAAACAAAAATCTCGGCATAGTACGGCTCCAAAGGCCCGTACTCGCTGCATGGAGTCTCCAAATGATTTTCCAACCGTGATCCTATCGCTACATGACACGAATGCGACCACCTCAGTTGATAGGATCAATTCTATCCTTGTCTTGGGAGGGAGATAGGATTATCGTAGGTTAGGATTGATCCTAATGGCGTCAGCCATTGACGAATGTTCCACGGCGTGACAAGGCGCGATTTTGCTGGCAAACGTTGGGCAAACGACGATGTCGAGACATCCAACGACTGTGGTCCATTCCGCGGCAGTTCACCAACCGAAAGAGGCGAATGTACTACGTCTCCAAGGCCCAGAATTGTTCTCAAAAGCCGCTCGTGGTTGATCCTGTGTCCCAGGCAACGCGCGCAGACTAAAAAGAAATGTACTGGGAAGACTTATGACTGAGCCTGGAGGCGAACCAGGAACGCTCTGCTATACTTGTGCTCTTTCGGCTTAAGGGTGCGAATCCTTTCGCCACTCGGTCTATGATCTCTTTAACCTTAATCCCTCACACATGGAGCTATTCTGGAGCCAAGTGTCCACCCTCTTATTTGTTTGCGATGTCCATATGCATTGGTTTTACTAACCACTGGCTCTAGAATACGAGTCCAACCGTTCTCGAACGAAATCTGAACCAGCCGAAATTCAACACAGGGACTGCACGGAACACCACTCACGCCCGAACACCGAACACTGAATTTCAAGGACTTATTCAACTACATTTTCGAGGCTCAGGTTCCAAGCCGTCGTCGACCAGCGGCACGATACCTCCATCTGATGCAAACTCTTTTCCACATCATAACTGGAGGAAACAGGGGTTCGACCGACGGCATGAACACTTGTGGTCATTGTTTTTCTCTCGATGGCCTCTGATATTTCGGCCGATGCGCACATAGTTCCAGTCCTCGCGAGCGAAGTTGTGATACTCCTCGAGGCCCCTGGCCTCCGAAATAACCTCATTCTTTGTCCCGCTTACTCCGCTGTAACTGGGAGTGTACAAGCCGTCGTCGACCAGTGGCAGGTCACCTCCAATACATATTTCGGCCACCGCGCGCATACGTTTGGAGGAACCGGGGGTTCGACTCCCCCCGATAGCGTAGGATTGCGATGTGTTCTTTTTTTTCTCCCGATGACTCGCTCACTGGACGCCGGCCGCCCCAGATTCTTCGCGGTTAGCCAGGCACAATTTAGAGGATATAAGCCGTCGCTGTTCGTGCCTTGTTCAATGGGTTAAGGCAATTTCATTCCTGTTAGGCATTGCATTGTGCGGACCGCTTACGCACGAAGCCCAAATTTCAAGGACGTATTCAGCTACATTTTAGAGGATCCAAGCCGTCGTCGACCAGCGGCAGGTCACTTTCGTCAATTCATCTTTCGGTCAGTCGAAAGGATAGAAAGAGGGTTCGACTCCCCCCGACGGCATAGGTCGTTTTCTCGATTTCTTTTGTTCTACTTTCAAGTTTTCAACTTAGTGCTTATGCGCTCGGAACATTCAATCGATTGACACATCCTCTCTGGAATTTCGAGTCCATCAGATCCCGCATTGACACTCACTGGGAACTCGCGGAAATTCAACCCTCACCGAGCCCATTTCTTTAATCATTGATGCACCCTGAAGTCCCCTCAAGCCGTCGTCGTGGCTGGGCTGGTTGCCTTCAGACCTTGATTAGATCCAAACTATGGATGAGCAGGAGCTGGGTGTTCGGCTCCCCCCGACGGACTCCTTTTGTTCAGCTCAAGGCAACTTCGCGCTAGGCGTCCGGCCACTTTCCACTGAGTCAGCAATTTAGCTCTCTCTTGCAGCGTTCTGGATGTTGGAATTGCACGTTGAACCTCCAAAGTTAAACATCGGCAGCCACTCTGACATATCCTACCTCACTTCTTGACTCTCCCGGACCACCAGCTCCTCGCAGCTCCACACAAGCCGTCGGAGACCATCGGCCGGTCACCTTCACAACTTACTTTGGCCCCTTAGTAGTTTGAAGATGTCGGATGAGTTTCTGAAGCGAGCGATGTCATTGCACATCCCTCATACGAAGCCGTGACAAATCTCTGCGGCGTTTGTTGATGACGTCGAAATAATTAACAGTCTCTGCCCAGCGGATCTCACCCCATTCCTGCCAAGAGATGTCTTCCCCTGCCCATGGAACAACATACTGCTGGGCTTGGCGAGATGTTTCGAGCTTGTTACAGTCAGGTGACTATGCAGCAGCGCACTTCCTCCGCGCATTGAATTGTACGTCAGCATGACGCTTAGGCGCCGCCTGTTGGGTTACTGACAGCGGCGCTCTGTCCCCATCTGTGCAGTCTATTTTATAACACACGTTGCCTCGGGTTTGCGGTACAAAGTGGATGTTAGGAGCCTCCGCATCATACCAGCCCAGCCCATCGCGACTTAGAGAGGTGAATTGAACGCACATAGATCATCCTTTGCCAAGGAACCATAAAGCTCTTCCTTTCATGAACGTCGTGACGTCAGTGCTATCCCTCAATGAGGAAATAAATAGCTCCACAGATCACGTAGTGCAAATCTCGAGGTGACATCTGACATGGGAGAAGTACGGTTTCCCTTGCTGCCCGACCACGTCGATGCAATGCCCAGGAGCTCCACTACTCCACTCTTGGCGACCACGGTGAACTTCTTTCCTAGTACTTTGCGGCTCCGACATCCTCTGGAATCGCGGGAAAATGTGGCAGAGCACAGTATAAAAGCAACGCAACTCTACTCCTAATACTCACTCGAACACATCCCTCCGTCGTTCAAACTCTTTAAACAATGTTCTCCAAACTCTCTGTCGTTGTCACTTCGGTGCTCATTGTACGCTACCATTCATATTTCGGGCCTCCATCGCACTGATCAATTATTTGCAAAGACCCTTGCAGCCGCCATCCCGACCACCACGCCCCCGGTGACTCCCCCGAGCTCGAACCAGTGCTGCAACAGCGTCCAGTCTTCCAGCAGCAGCGCCGTCTCCGCGGTCGCCGCCACCCTCGGCCTCGACCTCAGCGGCCTCAATGTCCCCATCGGCCTCGGCTGCAGCCCCATCACCGTCATCGGCAACAACTGGTTAGTCCTACTAATTTCCGGAACAAAATCCGAAGCTGACGTACACTGCCAGTGGCGGAACCAAGGTTACTTGCGACGCGCCCGACAAGCAGTGGGGCAGCCTCATCGCCATTAACTGTATCCCCATCACTCTCTGAGTGTCGGGATCTGTGAAGGGTGGAAGGGAAATCTCGGTGTTGATGTTGAGAGGTTTCTGTCGTGGCCTGTTTTAATCTCTACGTTCCGTGTTAAGTGTCGCGAATAATACGTCTTTTGTTACCTATTTCCGCTGTCCTGAAATGGTTGGTCAGATAGCTCGGAGGCCGGCATTCTCGGCGTACCGATGCCGGGAACGAAGATTCAGTTTTTTTCTCTCCTTTCATTTGCCGTTCCCTAAGTTTAGTTTCACTGTCTACCGTTAATGGTCGGCAACAGAATCCAGGAAGGACCTGGCTTCCAGGAGTGCCAGAAACTTGTTGCAGAAAGACCTGCTGTGGGGCCCCAATCAGTCGGAGGTTTCAGGGAGGGTGCCGATGTCATGCCGAGATCGTTTCTTCCCCACGATCTGTCAGTGACCTGGGAGCGCGGGATATTTAGCAGGCGCAACCCTGGCTCATGACATTGGAGGGCAGTTTCGGCGTCAGACGTCTTCCTCGCGTGCAGTCTAGTTGCACGAAAATTTAACGCTCCACTCAAGACAGAACATTCAGTGGTGAACTCGGCAGTGGCGTCAGGTAAAGATGGTTCCAGGGAGCTCCGGCGAAGCGCATGGATATTTACCGCGTATGGCATGGCAACCGAACCCCATCCTGTGACAGTGATCACAGGGTTTGCTAATGTCGGAATGCATATTTATTGCTGAGCACACTTTGTGAGTCTGCCGGTTACCACAGGTCAATCCAAACAGTTCTCCCGCACCCTTTTGCGCGGCCGCCGATGTGTCAATGCGATAGAAGTGAATGAAGGTTGATTTCATTTACAGCCGTTCTCGGTGCGTGTGAAGGTTGGTAATGGACATGCCTCATGCTCGCTGTACAGTTTGAGCACCAAAGCTACCCAGGAAGGAAAATACTCATCCGAGGGCTGGATGGCTTCACCTGGAAGTCTTAGAGGGATGTGTTCGAGTAATTACAGTTCTCTTCTTTTCTGTCTTTTCGACGCAGTTCCCTCTCACAGTCCCACCACATGCAAGAAAATGTGCTCCTTGGGTGTCAGCTACCTCAGCCACTAAGTCGGCGCCGCATCTATTCGTGACTCTTCGATTGGTGTGCAGGCTTTGCTGCCGGCGCCCGCCATAAAATGCAGTCGGCTAGAGTGTACTTGGTTAGGGTGAAATAGACTTCAGAGTTAATATTGGAACCGCACAATGGCGCGGCGGCATCAAGGGTCGGTCTTTGCGCTTCCGAACTTTCCTGGGGTCATCGGCAGACTTTACCGACCAAGTTGATTGTGCCGGCACCGAGCTACGAGAATTCAGCCAAGGCAGCAGGGCCTCTTAGGCTCTGTTTCCCCAGATCTCCGGCCGGAAGGAATTATATGTTCGGCTGCAACGTGGAATGATGCGAATAGATCCCACCATCGGATGTGCGTCCAACCTTTCTCGCACGAAGTCTGAACCAGCGGAAATTCAACATTGTGACTGCACGGACCACCGCTCACGCCCGTATTCAGCTATATTTGAGAGGTTCCAAGCCGTCGTCGTCGACTAGTGGCAGGTCACCTCTAACATCTGATTCAGGTCGTACATGTCCCATGACTCTCACTGAGGCGACAAAAAGCGGGTCCTCCAACACATGCCGTCGGGGGGAATCGAACCCACGGTTCCTCCACTAGATGGTGATATTGAAATGGGACAATTGTTGGAGGTGACCTGCCACTGGTCGACGACGGCTTGTACACTCCTAGTTACACCTGAGTAAGTGGGATAAGAAATGAGGTTATTTCGGCAGGGGGCTCCAGGAATATCGCAGCTTCGCACGCGAGGACTGGCACTATCTGCGCGTTGGCAGAAATATATGAGTCCAGCGAGAGAAAACAATGCTCGGATCCACCATGCCGCCGGGGGGATTCGAACCTTCATCTCCCCAATCATACGCGTACAGGTGTTTATCACTGGGAGTGACCTGCCACTAGTCGACGACAGCTTGGAACCCCTAAAACGTAGCTTAATACGTCCTTGAAATTGGTTTCCAGTCCTCGGGCGTGAGCACTGGTCCGTGCAGTCCCTGTGGTGAATTTTGGCGGGTTCAGATTTCGTGCGAGAACGGTTGGACTCGTTTTCGAGAGCTAGTGGTTAGTAAAACGTGTGGACATCGCAAACAACAAGGGAGTGGGAAACTGGACAAAAATATAGTACTTTCACCAGACTTCCATGCCGCCGGGGGAAGTCGAACCCTTGCTTCCTCCGGTCACATCTCGCAAGGGCTAATTGCTGGAGGTGACCTGCCACTAGTCAACGACGGCTGAGAACAGGTAATTTGCCCCTGAATACGTGAGCGACATTCAGTGCGGGCTACTGCGTGAGCGATACTATAAGTAATCTTTGGATTGTAAATGTCTGTTCACCAACAAACAAAAAAAATGAACGGAATGCATTCAAGCCGTCGGGGGGAGTCGAACCCCGGATCATTCTGTACAATTGAACAATGCACAGAGTCTTGCCTCGTTGTATGCGCATCCTTGCACACCGATCCATGATTTACACCGAGGGTCCAAGCAACGGTATAACGCAACCTCAGAGAAAAAGTGAAACGGATCCACAATATCCCCATGGTATTGGTAGGAATCGAACCTACGCCCCCCATCCCTACTTATCAAAGGTATAAAACGTGAAGGGAATCAACCACTGATATACGACGGTTTCTCTCATATCTGTAAATGCAGGTTATGGGAGAGCGATTCAGAGCGTTGACTGGGCGACCGCACTGCCGAAAAAAACAAGCGGAAAGCACTCGAGAAGACATCAAGATAATACCATCGGTAGGAATCGAACCTACGCCTCCTTCTGAATATCATCCAATGCGCGTACCTAGAGCGTGAAGGGAATCTGCCACTGATATACGATGGTTTCTTTGAACCTTCTTAGGGCACATTATCAAAGAGCGATCGGCGCTTTGACTGTGCGACTGCACCGTTGAGAAAATAGAGAAAAATGGGGACAGAGTTCAGCCGTAATATACCACCGGTACGTCCGTCCCTAAAAGCTCCTGTCAGGGTGCAGAGTGCCAGTGGAAGGGCAATCTTCCACTGATATACAATGGTTTACTTCGAACTTTGGATGTGCACGGCCGCTTGCAGAGACATAATTTGTGTTGAAACATGTCCTGAACCCTTGCTTGGCCCACGAGAATACTAAACCTGGTAGCGCGATAGTGTGCGAGTGCACGACTTATGATTAGGAGACCGCCCTAGTTGAACTGCCAGAAATTACCGAATCAACCCTCACTGCCACCCCCTGTCTTGACTTTCCTACGTCATCGTGCTTGAATTTCTCCTGTCAACCTCTCCAATCCCATCTCGCTTTCGTTTACAACTCTCCACGATGCCTGCCGCTGTGAGCCTCGTCCCGACAATCGACTCCACGGCACTCCCATCGACTCCAGCAGCCTAGTGGGCCACGAACATGAACCATATGCTCGCCTACTAGTACACTGATGGGAGCGCGGTGTAGACGCCGGACCCCGCGATGCCTGGGGCATTCCCAGAAAGGCCCCCAGTACGAGCGAGCGTCGCGTCGAAGCGGGCGTGCAGAGCGCGGGGTATTTAGACGGTGCGTTTGTGAAATGTTGGCTACGCGTGCGAGGTATTGAGCCTTCCGTGCAGCCGTCGCAGCAGAGCTAACGCTGCCCGTGAACCTCATGCCCTCGCCCGCGCTCAGCACGGTCGTGCACATGGGGACTCTGCCTCCGACACCGCCATCCCGCCACCGTCCCTCTCGGCAGCGCCCTCCCTCGCCTACGACCTTCAGTTTCCCTCCGTTGAGCTCAACAGCCCCGCGCGCCCGCCACTGGGGACCCACTCTTCCTCGTTCCACAGCCACGCATTCGGCGCCGCAGGCTCTGCTTCATCCTCCATCTACGCGCCCAACGACTCGGATGCGGGCTATGTACCCCTCGGCTCGACACCCGCGTCGCTCGCCTCACCATTTGCGTCCGTCGTATCGAGCACTTCAAGCAACTCCGCCCTGGGGGCCCGCCCGGCCTCCCCGCCGGCGTGCCGTTCACGCCCATCCCGCCCGTCAGTCCGCCGGAGGTGGTCGCATACTTCCCCATCGCGCGCGCGATGGACGAGGCCGCGGCATCTCCAACCACCTCCGCCTCCGAGGTACAGCTCCCCCCGCACCCGCCGACAGACGAAGCAGCGCAGCGCGCGGGGTTCTCGGGCGCGCGGTACGGCGTGCTCGGGCGGGAGGGCGCGGGTTTTGTTGAAGCGTCCGCTGACGCTGCTGAAGCGACGGAGCTTGCAGCGGCGCAAGGAGATGTGGCGATCTTCACGGTGTATGGGCTGCACATACCCGGTGGGCATACTGCTGCCACGCCGGCGGGGGAAGGCGCGCGCGCGAGGGAGGGGCGCGCGCATGAGGGCCCCCACGAGCGCGAGCCTGAAGATGAAGACGGTGGCGAGTCTCTCGAAGATGGCAATGGAAAGGCCAAAGGCCGCCCGCCGCTCGCGCCTTGTCGCGAAGATCAAGAAGATGCACGTTTGAGAGCGGTTCGAATTCAAATAGAGTGATCTTTACAAGTAGTAGTGGACAAGGTTGTACATACCTATCCACTAGTCTGTGTATCAGCTGCATAATGAGAATCGGAAACTGAGGGAAAAAATATCTAGACGAAACGAGAACACTCGGCGCGTCGGATGTGCGGCTCGGTTCTGTGGTTACACATTGGTGTCTACGCACATCGCGGTCGCCTGAAGGACTTTCAACATCGCATGATCTCATACCCTTCTGGCAATTCCAATGCCCTTCAGTCCCAGTTAGAATTCTTCACCAAATCCGTACTCAGCGACAAGACTCTCCGTGTCTCCCATAAAAACCACAGCAATCAATGGTCAAATACGTACGTAGCTACAACAAATATCTCCACCCGATCTGCTGTTTACACAACACCCACAACACCAGCCAGCCCGACAACCGATCCAAGCCCTGACCGGAATCTCCGCGCCTCCACCCCGTTGGATCTGGGAGCCTGAGACGGCGATGACGATGCGACGATGTCTTCCACGGCGCTGATGTCCCCCGCAATCGCGCCCGTCGGCACGTCGTATGCGCCGGGCACGGGCCCACGCGTGTCGCCGGGGGCGAGGATGGTCACCTCCGCGTCTGAAGACGCGGGGGGCATCGCGCCCGTGCGAAGGAAGTCCTGCGCAATGCGCTGCGCGCGCGTGGCGGGGGGCGCCACTAGGATCCCGGTTGTCTGGTCAGCCGGCTGATAATGACCAAAGAAAGAGAAAACTGACAGAGAATGGAAGTGTGGTCGTCTCCGTGCCGGACGACGAGCGTGGAGTTGGGCGCCTGTGCCCAGGCGAAGGTGGCTAACTCCGTCGGCAGGCTGCGCATGGAGATGAGCGTAATGGAGGAGGAGAGAGGGTGGAAGGCGCACTTCAAGTCGAAGTCCGACGTCATCCACATGAGGGGGAGCTCCGTGGGCAGCGTGGGTTGCTCGGGGACGGGGAACGGCCAGGCGGAGCACATGAGGGCGAACTGCCAGATCTGCGAATAGACGATTTTCGCCGGGTCGCTCTGCGGGGCGCGCGTACGTGAGCCAGGGAAGACAGGATATAGGTAGCGACGCACGCTCTGCGAGTTGATGCTGAGGTTACTGAACCCCGCGAACGTCTTATCCGCATCGTCAATCTCTGGAACCAAGCATAAGTCACACAGGGACACGCAAGCAGGGGAGGGAGGGCGCACTGAAGTCCGAGCAGAGGAGCGGCCCGATGACGGTCTCGCGGAGGTCGCCGAGCGGCTCGTAAGCAAAGAGGCTCGCGTCCCCGTGGAGCGACGCGTTCAGCGCGATGTTGAACTTGGGGAAGTCGGGGAGCGGGTTGAAGAGGACAGTGACGCCGAAGCGCAGGTCCGTCGACGTCACGGGCGTGTTGCAGTCTGTGCCAGGGCCGCAGTTTGGCGCAGGGAGCGGTGCGTTGATGGCTTGGGCGACGAGGGTATCCCATGCCTAATAAAATTCCGTCAGCATAGAGGCAAAGGCCGGGGAGAGGGAAAGAGACCTTAACGACGCTGCCGTTACCCTGACCGTAGAACGGGCATGTGGGGTCCGTGAGGCAGAATGCGTCCGCGCGCTGGAGGAGACGGTTTGCCGCGGCTACCTGGTCGGTAACCATATCCTGGAACGGCTGTGGTCCTGTCAGCATATGCACCGCGGATTATAAGAACACGTGGCGGTATACCATGCCGTGGGGAATGACCGCATCTAAGACAAAGCGGTCAACGCGGTCGGGGAAGCGGGCGGCGTAGGCCATGCCCACGAATGTTCCGCTGAAGAAAGGTTGCCCTGATCAGCGCGGACAGTAGGGTTGTAGCAAGGCAAACGTACTATGAAACCCCTGCGAAGCTGACCTTCTCGTATCCGAGTGCAGCGCGGACGGCGTCCCAATCCTGGATAACCTCGACTGTTCCGACATGCTCCATGATTCCGGCAGGGGTGCTGTTGTTCGTGCATGCCGCATAGAAGTTCGCCATGGCAGCTTGGTACTGGTCGTACTCGTCCTGAGAAGTGGGACTATGGCTATAGTAAGCAACCGGGAGAGCATACTTGGATCCAAACGCACAAAGCAAAAGAAATATTGTTGAAGAAGACTCCCGAGGAGCAGTTGAGCGGGTTGGAGAATTGGATTCCACGGGTGTTCACCGCTGGCAACTCCGGAGTCAGC